CGTTTTCCTGTGAATTTGGCGGTCACCGTGGAAGCTGCCGTGCAGACGATGACTACAAGGACAGGTGCAACAAAAGCAGCGCCAATTTGCCGTTGCAGCAGCCAACACGCCAACGCAACCTCGATCGTGTTGGCCCAGTATTCGTGGATCGGCTGGAAGCCGTTCTTGACGCGCTCCACGTCGGCGTTCATGAGCGTCAAAGCTGCGGAATCGTCTGCGGCAGACAAACTGATGACCGTTGTCTTGCGGTAGACGGCTGAGGCCAAGATACCTCTTGCCATGTGGACGAAGCGCTCTTGGAAGTACCAGTAAACGGAACTGGATGTAGCCATGCCAATGTAGGTGAGGAAGGCAGCACCGATGTACCCGTACCCCTTGTTCGGTGACGAGGCATCCACAGGCTCCTGGAGGTAGTTCAACAAGCTCTCAATCATGAGAGGTTGGCAGAATTTGAAGCCCATCTGACAAAGCCGTGGGATGATGGGCAGTATGAATGGTCCTCCAAGCGTCTGTGCAATGCCCCTGAATAGAGCATGCTTGTGGCCCTGCGCTTTGTTCTTCTCTAGAAGAGGCCCGAATTTGGCGTACAAGACCTCGGCCGACATTGGTCCATCGAGCGCATACAAGTCGTCGAGGACAAGGAGCTTGCGGAATCCCTTGAGAAAGAGGTCATTGACCCAAAAGTAGGTCGAAAGACTAATGATGCCGCTCGTCGCCTCTGGACTTTGCTTCTTTTCGGAGGCTATTGCTTGCCTTTTCGTCCAAGATTCAATGACGAGTGCGACGACTTTCAGAATGACACTTGCGATCGACAAGCGAGCTTGATGGAAATCGTTGGCAGAGTCTGCCGACAGCCATTCAGTTCTCGTGCGAGCAATATCAAACAAGGCAGCGATCAGGAGGTATACACCGAGCAGCATCGACGGCCGTGGTGAGCGGGCATGCTCCAAGAATGAGAGAAGGATCATGACTAAGGATGCAATGAAATTCATCGTATCGGATGCGAGCCCCAGCCGGGACGACCAGTACGTGCCACGACTTGTCAGAATGAGATGGCCAAGTTGCAGGCCACTGTAGGACACAAGAGCAGACTGATAAAGTATTAGGCATGGTGTAGTTATAGGTAGTGTCTTTGCTTACGATTTTAAGGCATAGCAGAATAGTCTCGTCAATTATCTTTTGTTTTTGAAGCAATTGGAACAGTCGCGGCAGAGAACACAGGATCAACACGGCTGCCGGAACAAATGCCAAGGCGGCTTGCTCGAATCCGACAGTGAAGTCAAAGTCATCGCGGCATCCGTGGACGACTGGACCCAGGGACCAGTCATTGGCACATGAGGAACTCATCGAGAGGCTGAAAATACTGGCGTTGGGTAAAGATTGCCGAAAGCGCAACGGCGCACAGTTGAGACGCGTCGCATAAATCGAAAGGAACCGACTGGATTTTGAAGAAATGTACCTCAGTATTAAGAGAAAGTCCCTTTATCAACAAGTGCCCCTTGTGCGGCGTAGTATCACCCCGAGCAAGTAAGCATCATCTGTTTGGCTGAATTTCCGGCTCTATCGCTCGACATTTCGGTTCTCCACACGGAACTGTGCCACTTGGGCCAAAATGAACGCAAAAAAGTCCACCTTCTTAAAACATCAAAACACGCACAAGAACATTGCTTCACTCCTCGCCTTAGCAAGGGCAAGGGAAAATACAGAAATTGCAAGGAATAGGGCAGGGGATGATGAAGCAGAAGCGTCCGGGACAAGGTCCGCGACCATCATCACCGCCGCGAAGGCCCATCTCCATCTGCTCTGTTTGGGGCTGTGGGCGCTGAGGATCTTTTGCGCGCGGAGGCTGATTAGTGAGAGGTTCAAACGTTTACGGCTATTCGACGGAAGAGGACTCTGTGCTCACCCATGGGTTGGTAAGGGGCCGGCTGTTGGGCGTCGCTCAATGTGGAAGGAGAATCTGCACGCCCAGATGGGGCAACTTGGCTAGATTGGTCCATTGTGTTGTTGGAAGTGTTGTTGGAAGTTGGTGGAGTTTTCGTTAACAATTGCGCAAGATGAGTACACTTTTTTGGTTGCGAAAGAGAGAGATGTGAACGTCTCCCGAAGATGAGAAATATGGTCTGGAGACGAAGATGTTGCCAGGATGAGAAAGGTAAATGGCCATGACGCAGCCGCCTCAGAAAGAGATGGGATGACAGCAATCCAATGGGTGGCTGTGCAGGCGTCACGTGCAGAGCAGATCAGGTGATCCTCATCAAACTACGAATGCTGTCAAAAGCTCTAATCACGCGCTTGCCTTTTAGAAATTCGGTCAAAAGCGAGCTATATGGACTTGGAAATGTGAGGTGATAGACAATATCCGTGATGGTAGAGTTCTCTTCCGTTTGGTGGCTGCGCATTGCTTCTGGAGTAAATTCCACATCGGACGAATGAGGCGGCAGAAGCCTCGGAGATCCGACCCGCCGGTCGGACCCCAGTTCCGGAGCCGAGACCCATTCTCTTGCTCCGTGCCCGGTCCGGTCATCTGCTTGCAACCGCATTGTCTGCGCTCAGCCAGTGTATTGCTCCTCATCCTACCTTACCTTAACAAAATTGCTTTGGCAATGAAAAAGACGCAAATTTGAGCTTTTTTTTCTTTGGTTACGGTCATAAGATACAACTCGATGGGTTTGCTTCAACTCGTTGCGAAGAATGTCGCCTGCCTTGTAGTATTCCCGGCACAGTAGGGTGATGAGTGAAGATAGGCCACCCCAACTCTACGCCGACATAGATCGCACATGTAAACGCCGGGTAGGAGATGATACACCAAGATGAAGTGGAGGCGGGATCGACATATATACTGTCCGTAGGTGCTCATTCGCGCATACAGGTACTCATCCCCGGACCCGTTTCATTCCGATCCCGTCGGACAGTTTCAAAAATAAGCCTCTGGTTGCATTGGCTCTCGGGGCGATCGCTGACTCGCCATGCAACTGTACAGAAATACCTACAACTGCGGAGCGACCGACACAACAACCAGGCAAGGATACAACCCCCTTTGTACTATTTTGACAACTCCCAAGAGTTGCTGAACCGTTCAATTCATTCGCATGTGGGGGCCACCCGCGCGAACAACTCACCATCGTCAAACCACTAGCCATCGTGGGGGGTTTGGCGACTTTATTTTAGTAGGGCGCTCTCGCCCTTCTAAATAAAGGCGATGTATGAGACGCGGACAGCATCCCGCACCACGGTCGAGAGAGAGCCAAGAGAAGGACAAGAAATAATTGAAACGTTCATCGCCAAGACCAGCGCGAGACGGCAGCCACAAGCTTTTCTTGCCCTCCTACTCTTTTACCGCTTCATAGCAGATCCCAATCGCCTGCTAACTAAGCCTACCTCACTGTGATTGTCGCTGACATCCTTTCTACCACCCTTGGAACCGATAATACTCCAAACCTGCCAAGGTGCAGCCAAGGTTTTCGGGCCACCAGCCGATTGCACCGCCAGACGTCTGTGGCCGAGCCTCCATTAGCAGACCTCCAAAATAGACATGATACTCCTGGCTATTGTCAAAACTGTAAAGAACAGGACGTGAAAAGAGGAGACGAAGGCAAACGGACTCGTTGTGAATGAAGTATATAATCGAGACAGATGAACGCACAGTCTCGGTCTCATTTCTCACTAGCTCATCATCACACAACAGTCTTCAGCTTCAACTTCATCCGATTCAAACGCTCCGAACTCATCTAATCTCCCCCGCAACTGCCAAACGCCAGACTACCAACCCCCCATTCAAATCAGCAACCATGCGTGGCATCTTCTTCACCATCTTCGCCTTCGTGGCCGCCGTCGCCGCGCAGGCACCATACACTGGACCTTGCTCTGATACCGCCTGTGGCGTGGAGAGCGAGAACTGCGATGTTCAAGGCCGCCAGTGCTTCCCATTTCCCAACATTGCTCCAGCACTCCGTGAGGGCTGCGTCTGCGGTTCTGGTTAAACAGACATGCACAAGAATTGGAATTTCATAGGCGTGAGTACGGGCCACTTCCCCGTGATGTGTCAACCATCATCTCATACTCAATATAGGTTTTGGGATCAGACTCGGCAAAGATCAAAGCGGCAAGGCGCGCATAAAAGGGCCACCGGAACCTCGATTGCAAAGGTTCCGTAGAACACGGCATAGGAACATGGCACATAAGCGACTACTTTGGCGCCAAGGACATCGAGGACACCAGCATTGTTACTTCCATAGCTAGATTTTGGCTCTTGATTACAGCGAATTCATTGCATTTGAAATTCCATGTGTCCACTGCATATGAAGAAATACTGTTCTCCGCTTGGGTTCGTGACTTGATCTAGCTCTACAAATAGTATCCTTGCAACTCCGATCCTAAATCTCCCGAGAAAAGAGCTTACACCCATCATCAACCTCATAACGTAGGACTTCCTTAGGCAATGGACTACTGCGGACAGAGTTGACAGACAAGATTTGCGCGATTCGTTCGCGGACTCATTTCGTTAGCTGTTTGAGTCAGTATATGCCCGAGAGAAGAGCTTGGCGTTGCTTGACGGACATTGTACCGAGCGAAACCGCCCAGCCTGGGGCCGCGCGAAACCATACTCTTAGGAAGCTTGTGTCGCGGGTTTCTCAGAAGGATAAACCTGGCTGAAATCTTCACTTCAAATGCGGAGAAGATCGTTGGAGAATTCAGGAGACGACGACACAGCCAAGTTAACTTTGCCATTTCCATGGCTCATACCGTGGTATTTAATTCCGCCATCGTCCGAGGATAAGTTATCCTTCACAGTCTTTATCGGAGATGCCGACTTACTCGGTCGTAATACACTATTCTACGCATCCGACTGATAGCAATACCCCTCAATTCCGAGCGTTTGGATACGGCTGGCTCCATAATCAAGATGGTTAGACTGGACGAAATGGACATGCACGTTGGAAAGACAAGGCCCTAAAATCTTGTTCGTCATGTGCCTATCTCTTCAAAGACGGGACTTTTTAAGTTTCAACGTCTGACCGAGATTCCGTGACCTTGCTCGAGTCTGCCTCAGCGGTATCCCACTCTCTTCGGACTACATCCTTCACACATGGTCCCCCAGCCTTAAAGCCGAACTTGAAATCAGAGGATTCCGTCATGTAGCCGATTGCATTCATGGCCAAGTTGTCAACCTCCTCCACCGGTACTCTCTCAAAGGACCCTGACAGGCTATAGAATACCATAAAGTTGTCATTAAGAGACACTTGTTTGCCAGGCACTTTCGTGTACCTTGGCTTAGCACAGGTAGGGGCTGGTCAGTACGTAATCTGCCATTCAAGTCCAGCCATCTCTCAGGGATGAAAGCTCCCAAGTCTCCAAATTCATCATCTAACACCTTCTTATCCCGCCCAATAGCCCAAGAGTTCGCAAAAAGTGTCGCTCCCTTGACGATGCGCTTTCCACAGATCTCATCCTTCATCTCGGTTCTCCGTGGGATACTTCCCGGCGAAACCGGTCGTCAGCGCACGACCTTCGATACCACGGCATCAATGTAAGCCAACTTCATCCGGTCCGCAAAGCGCGGCTGCCGCTTCCTGCCAACGAAGTTATCTGGGATGGCTTGCGATCGCACCGCGGAATCCACGTTCGTGTGCGTTGCGACGAGAAGCCAGAGCATCTGCCGCAGGCCAGTCTCCATACCGCCTTGGACGCTCGTTGCGAGGGTGAAGGCCAAATCTATTTCCGACAACGGGGCCTGTCTCGGCGTACTTGGCGGTAACTGCTCGTGCTTGCACTCGCACACTATACAAGAGAATTCCCATCTAGAAACAAGCACATACGACCACACCCATCGGAGAATTCGGGATCCCGTCCGCTCTCCCATAGACAAGCCGATGAGGGCCAGATCAGTAGTTGAGTCGGTGACGATCAGCGAATACCTGGTGTTGTATGTTTTTTTGACGTTCCTTTTGTTTAGTGGTGGGTCACGATGTTGCTTGGATAGCAATAGTAATTACCTGGTAAAGCTGACTGGTTGACTGGCTGAAACTTTTACGCTGCAACAGATCCAAGACTCGGAGTTAGCATTCGATAATAAAATCTCGAATGGGCACCATGCTTGTGCTTGAGTGATTCGTGACGTTCGCTGCTACGCTCCGGTAATCATGTCCATGCTTACAGAGCTCGGCCTGTGACCGTAGTACGCACTCCGTTTCTCGCGGAGCTCATTTCCTGCTTTGGCGGTATTGAGAATAACCATGGTAAGGATCTCAAAGAGTCTTGTCGTCGTGACTGGCCCATTGCGTCAACCCATTCATCCTAGTTCAGGAGCGGTCTCTCTTAAGGTGAGCAATGTAGGTCGCCAATGATAGGGAGCTTGAGGGGCTTTGAGGTCGCCTCATTGATTTCGGCTTTTCTCGACATCAGAAAGAAGACCGTCACCAGTTCGACTGCCCCCAGCTTTGATGATTGAGTTGCTAGCCATATCATTGTCCAGACGAATCACGGGTGAGTGTTGGGCCTGGGCATGTAGAGATAGCAACAGGACGAAACACGGATGGTGCAGACAACTGGGTTATTAATAGTGATCGCACCATTCCCTACACAGAATATACGATTGAGCGGGGCCGTCAAGAAATCCGTTCCGGGGCATCTTCGGCCATCGGATCAAGGAACAATGACCTTTAGAATCTGACCCGTCGTGGCCAGTCACTTCCTTACGGCATGGTAACGCACGAACATTGGATTTGTATCCGTACCTTACTCACCAGACGACAGCCGTCTGGAAAGATTCACACTAGCCGGGCCCGCTGCGTCACAGATTGTATGACTGGCTAGTTGATTCGGATGAACTGCCAGGATCTACCATAAGCTCCGCTCCGGAAGCAACACCAGGCGGGGCCGGACCGTTAGACCTAGCGGCCCGTTTTGACCGGCTGGTAGCGGAAGCGGGGCCCCTAAGAGTTAGTATGATAACCTTATAGGGCAAGATAGCGCTGACAGAGACTACGACATCACGGGCAAGGTGAGAGGCTTGAAGCCAAATGGCGTATATGCATTTCTAGACAGAGTCTTGACAACCCCATTGTCCGACTAGGTCAGCCATGGGGCTCAACGTCTAATACTCCATCAAAACCCGTCTTAAGCAAGAATACTCAGGCCTCCGCCTCCGGTTTCTGCGCATAGACAACGAAGCTGTTTTCATTGTTGTTAGCCAAACGCTTCGTGGTCCTTCAAACTCAAGGGAAGTATGGAGGAAATGGCAGACTCACTACTCCATGTAGGGATGGAAGGTTCTAGACTTCAGCTCGCGACGGACGTCTGCGAGAAGTACTATAACCTCCTCCTTGGTCCATCCAAGTACACCGGTGAACAGTCTCAAAGTGAACGCTTCAAGCCCGTCCAAGATCTGCATCAGGTTGATCATGCCCAGTTCCTTGTAGTAGGGGTCTTTCGGCCAGTCCCCAACAGGAATCTTGAACTTCTGGTGGGTGATATTGACGTAGTCGCCAGTCTCCCTGACCCAGTCCTCCAACTTAGGTCCCGGGTTGGCTTCGCGGTTGATGCGTTTGCACGCATCAAAGAACAACTCCGACCACTTGCTAGTCTGGTGCTGTTCGGTGTAACTACCGTCATCTGAAGTGTATCGCAGGTTGAAGTCCTGGAACTCAACCCAGCCGCCGGGGTTCACGTTCCTAAGTTGAAAACGTTAGTGAGACGGGTGACAGGTGAGCTCCTTGGCCTTAAATACTCACTCATATATCCTCTCCATCAACTTCGGCCAGTCTGCAAGTGACGCAGCCATATCTCTGCAAAATATGAAGTCATACTTCTTAGAGTTGACCCAAGGACTTTCAACATCGTCGATCTCGAACTTCACATTCGGCGGAACCCTACGTGGCCCTTGTTAACACTAACAATATTGCACAGATTTATCAGGGTAATACTTACCAAGTTGGCTGAATAGCGCTGAGATCATTTCCCACCACCTATTACGTTGCGTTAGTTTCAACTAACTTCCAAAAGACAACTCGTGTCGAGGTCTTATTATTCGATGCTTACTTCGGCGTTTGGAAACTCCTCACCCATGAGCATTGCCCCTAGAAGCTGTTAATTACTGTAAGTTTAAACAACTCATGTGCAACTTACAGATTCCAGTTCCAGTACCGATGTCAAGGATCCTGTGGATCTTGTCTTCCTCAATCGGGGCCATAAAAAGCTTCTCTCCGGTGGCCTTGACCATCATCATATGCAAGAAGTCCAGGCGGTCGGCCTCAGTCTTTAGATTGAAAGTATTAGCTAATGAAATCCTCGTCGACTAAGATCTTGATACCGTCATACCTCATCATTAGGACCCCAGTACGCTACTTCTAATTAGTCAACTATCCAGTATAGGTCACACGCCAATGATACTCACATCCAGATCTGAAAGCGTGGTAACGACGACCGTGCTCTGTGGGGTAATCAACCACGCTTGAAGTTATTGATGCCGTATACGACGACCTGATTCCCTGCTTAGCCTCAACTTGAAGAATTTCGGGCACAGCTACTTACCACCGGTCATCAATAGTAGACGCGCCGTCAGATCCCTGGTGATTCGATTAGGGCGAATTCAGTGCAAGCCTGGCGTTTAGAAAACATACAATGCCCTCATCGTCAACCTCAATTTGGCCTGTTGCATCCTCGTGTTCACTTCGTGGTGAGCCAGGTCCTGTAGGAGAAGCAGTCTTGGACCTCAAAGGCGACGCAGTCTTTGACCTGGCGGGAGAGCCATTTTTCGCACGACCAGGGGAGCCGGATGCCGGTGGGCTGTTCGGAGTTCCAGTCATATCGAACAGCGGCCAGGGTTTCTTGGGTTCTGTTCCAAAATTTGAAAACTTGCGCCAAGAGGTTCAACCTTTGAATAAATAGAGAAGTTCAGGGAACATTGATTTAGGAGAGGGAGTGGTCAATGGGAAATATGCGTCAGACAGCCAGTATGGAGAATTTGTACTCAATTGGCTGCTCCTCTTTACGGGCTCCCACAGCTTGTGAACCCCGTTGTTGGTGCAGGGCACTCAGATGTGCATACAGAATGCATACAAACGTTCCATTTCGTCAAGTCAACGTAGCAAACTTCTCTCTTTCCGGGGTGAGAGACTAATCAGCAGCTTTCTAGCAATATGGTGGCGGGGCATGTCAGGTTGTCGCATCTCATATTCGCGAAATCGAGTCCAATGAGACGTATTCGCTCCAGTCTCCCTGGTCGTGGTGTGGATATTACAAGGGAAAGCGAACAAGCCACATCATGCACGAATCAGCTGAGAGAACATTTCTTTCGTCCCCTCGTTGCTAAGAACCCCAAATGGAAGGTGAAGAGACAACAATCCCGAGCCTCCGGGCGGGAGCAGACATAATATGTATGCTTTAAATTCTGGCGGACTACTCGGATGGACACTTTATCTAGAATGAGACTCTTCTCGATAACACCACCATGCCTTCTTCCTATTCACTGCGGCTAATCTAAGCTTCCTCTTCTGGTTTCTGAGCATAAACAACGTGACTGGGAGGTTCGACTGTCAGCTAAATTGAGGACGAGCAACGAGAGGAGAAAACTTACAACTCCATGCGGGCATGGAAGACGCCTGTCTTCAACTCATTTCGGCAAGCCGCTAGCATTACCATGACCTCCTCCTTCGTCCAGCCAAGTACTCCAGTAAGTAATCTCAAATTGAAGGCCTCCAATCCATCCAAAATCTGGATGAGGTTACAGAGACCGAGATCCTTATAATGGGGATCCTTGGGCCAAGTACCAATTGGCAGTTTGTACGTCTCATGGGTAATGTTGGTGAAGCCGGCCTCCATGACCCAGTCCTTGAATAAGGGGCCCGGGCAGGGCTCACGGCCAATTTGTCTGCAGGTGCTGATGAACGTCTTGTTCATCTTCAGACTTTCGTGCTCATCGGTGATGGAGCCATCATCAGAGCGGTATAGGAGATCCCAGTCTTGGAATTCGACCCAGCCTCCGGCGTTGGTATTGCTATAAAGACTGGTTAGCAGTGTCATTTAATAACGCGATGTTTAAGCGCTAACTCGTAAATATTCTTGACCAACTTGGGCCAGTCAGCGATAGCACCGGCCATAGACCGGCAGAAAATGTAGTCAAATTTGGTTGTATGCAACCAAGGGCTTTCGACATCGTCGACCTCGAATTTGACGTTTGATGGTACCCTACTTCCCATTAGATTTCATCGAATGAGAGAGGATCAGTGTTAAGCTCGTACCAAGTTGGTTGATTTGCGCTCAGGTCGTTTCCGATAATCTTCCCAACCACTCAGTCAGCTCTTTGCCTGCAGTTAAACTACAACTCATTTCCGGGGACAAATACGCACCTCAGCGTTGGGGAACAAGTCTCCCATCTCCATAGCCCCTGTGTACTTTGTCAGTTGATCGGAGCTGTAGGAATGGAAAGAACTTGATCTACTCACAGATTCCAGTTCCAGTGCCAATGTCCAAGATGCGATGAGTTTTTGTCTGCTCAATTGGAGCTAAGTACAACTTGCCAATGGCTTTGAAGATCAAGGTCGAGAGGAAGTCAAGACGATCCATCTCATTCTATTCAAATGCGATTGTTAATAGGTGTTTCGTTATTCTGGACGAACACGACAGTACCTCGTCGTTTGGAGCATAGTAAGCTGTTTCTTGTTAGCTCATGAGAGCGAGACGCATTGACGACAGTATACTGACCTCCTCCTCGGAAAGCGTGATAACGCCGGCCATGCTCTACAGGATAGTCGATCACACTAGAGCCTAAGGAAGCTGTATAGGATGATCTGGATCGGGTTGTGAGTTTCATGCCTGATAACATTGGGTAAGGTGGAATCTACATCTGATCATCAATCGTTGAAGCTCCATCGCTGACCTGAGCCCTATGTTAGCAAGGCTGGTATTCATCCAAGTATGAGAAAGTAGACTACACACACTGAGTCCTTCGTCAACCTCAATATCATCTGCAACTTCGCCTGCAACTTGGCCCGCGGGTGAGTTCTGCGCTACTGGTGAAGCAGTTTTTGACCGCAATGGGCTCCGGTTTTTTGGTGACGCGGTCTTTGACTTGGCGGGAGATGCAGCCATTGCCGCCGGGGGCGAGGCGGGCACCGGCGACTGAGCATTTGGTGATCCGGTCATCATGAAACTTGATGGAGCCTTCGTCCCGAGAGTCCGGTTCAAGTCACGCAATTCTATCGAACTCGGGGCTAATGAAGAATGATTGGAACGACGAACATCAGTCGAAAGACTCAGTGAAAGGTAGATCAAGCCAGACAATCAGCCAGCTTTGTACTCGCTGTTGGTTTCCCTGCATCCTGTAGGCTCTCGGCTATTTGGCACCTCGATGCTGGTGCGCCAAATGTGTTCAGCCATGCAGAATACGCAAACAAACGTGCCATTCATCAGCTTTGCCTGCATATCTCCAGGATGTATAGCAAATGAGAGCGTTGCCAACGGTTCCAGCAGCGGGGTGTTGGCCGTTGGTTGCATTCAGGCTTTGTTCAGTCGAGACCAATTAAGACGGTTGGTTCCGGCCTCCCCGGTCTTGCTGTGGATACTAAGTCCGTCTAATCCGGAGCGATGCATTAAAAAACACGCGTACCCCTCTCTACAGTAGGAGTTATCGTTACTGGATTGAACCGTAGAGCTGATAGAGGGCTGCGCCAACCGAGGCAGGCCGAGCAGACCCGGGCTCTGCCTCACAATGATGTTTTCGGTCTGTGTGGCATCTCGAAGTTGGTCTCATGAAGACAAGTCTGTAGCCTAAGCCATGATTCAGAACTAAGATATAGTCGGACTTAAAAACAGAGCTGTTGGATTCAATGCTATACATCGCTATCATTGGCCAAGTTCCCTTCTCGGCCATACATAGCCGGAGCTTATCATTGAAGACGGCATAATCATGTACCTCACATAGGCAGAAGTTTTCTACGTACAGTATTTCTTACTCTGGCTTCTGTCCGTAGACTACATGACTATTGGTCTTGTTAGTCACATTTCGTCGTACCTTATGCCGCCTAGGGAAGTACTCACAATTCGCCAAAGGCGTGAAAGACTTGCGATCTCAGCTCTTGACGAACTTCGGACAACAGTGTCGATACGTATTCCTCTGTTTTGCCAAGAACTCCACAAAATAGCCTCAAAGTGAACGCCTCGAGCCCGTCTAGAAGCTGTATCAAGTTGCCCAGGCCGATTTCTTGGTGGTACTCGTCTTTAGCCCACGGCCCGAGAGGCACCGTGATTGTCTTATGCCCGATGTTGATGAATCCTGCATCCTGCACCCAGCCCTCCAGCCTAGATCCAGGACATGGCTCAATGCCACATAGCCTGGCTGCTCTGAGGAAAGCTTGATCCCACTCGTGTGTCTTATGATGGGGCTGCAGACTTCCGTTAAGTGACGAAAATTCAAAATCATAGTCCTGAAACTCAACCCATCCCCCTGGCCGAAGATTTCTGTACGAAAAGAAGGTCATCAGACATCCAATATTGTGCCGCTTCAATCCAGTGTCACATACTCATATGCTCTACTCACAAACGTTGGCCAGTCGGAGAGAGATCCAGCCATGTAGCGGCTGAAGATAAAGTCGAAATGTTCTTCATAAACCCAATCGCTTTCAACATCATCAATCTCAAACCTGACATTGGATGGGACTCTTTTAATGATTAGCTACTTATCATAGATTAGAAAGGAAGTGGAAAGTTGCATGTCCTACAGTCTTGGTTGAACGGGACTCAAGTCGTTACCGATGATCTGCTAACTCTCAGTTTCCGGCCATATCATCAGATCCTAGTAGTATTTACCAGTGCGTTGGGGAAAGTGTCGCCCATCTCGATGGCCCCTGAGAGTCGTAAGCTCAAAACTCTGGCACGCGTCGAATGTAGACTCACAGATACCTGTACCAGTGCCGATATCAAGTACTCGTTGCATCTTCCCCATGTCGATTGGGGCCAGAAAGAGGTTGTACTTGAGGAACTTCAGAACTAGCTCGTGGTTGTAATCCAAACGGCCTAGTTCATCCTTGCAGCAACACGAACGACTTGTCAGAACAAGTAGCTCTCTTCCCGTAATGTGATTTCTTACCTCGTCATTGGGAGCAAAGTAGGCCGTGTCAAGGTCAGCCTGGTCCCGCAGCAAAAGACTCGATTCACTTACCTCCCGCTCTAAACGCGTGGTATCGCCGCCCATGTTCTGTAGGGTAGTCTACGACACTAGAAGTCACCGACTTGGTGTACGAAGACCTGCATCATTAGCTCTGATCGCGTGTGGCAACTCAAGTTCTCCATACATCCGGTCATCAAGGGTCGAATCATTGTCCTTGTAAACATAAGCCTCTTGTGTTACGTCTATAATAGGGCGGGCTATAGACAACTCACACTGTCGCCGACCTCGAGTTCAACACCTTCATCACTAGTGTCTGAGGCAATGCTCATAGACGAGGCAGCATCGGATCTATCCGAGGAACCTCCTCCGGGGGCGCTCATCTAGACTGCGGTCCCGATGTATTTAGCAGCTGTTCCGAGCGACTGAATCAAGGTCAAATGAATTGGTCTACACAGTAGCAAAACCTCCGACATAGTGGAGAGAAACACTCGCGAAGTGGCCGCGACCCAGCTGCCATGGTTTTGTATTCAACGATAGAGTCTGTCTCCTCCATATCGCAATCCAGGCAACCGCGACTGAGTCTGTTGGTGATTGAATCATACAGCATGCAGACGGCCCAAGCTAGAATACCTAACGTCCTACACCGGTCGTAATCCTGCAGACTCCCGAAAGTCGGGAGCTAATCGGTGACCTGCGATTTGGCGCTTCGCTTCCAACGGCTGGGCGCTGTTGTCCTTGGCTGCGGTGAGACCAATCATGTCTCTGTGCGTTGATCGCCCCTGTCTCTAATCTGTACTGTGTTGGGCGCATGACACGGTCCAACTTGCTTCGTGGACTGTTGGAAGAGGGAAAAGAAACGACATGCATACTTCGGGCCCGACAGGAGGGGAAACGAGCAGGTGGGAAAGGTCTCGATATCTTCCATCCGTGCGGACCATAGAAGGCCGCAACAGTCATACCACTAGAAGGCGTAAGCATTGCGATTCATTGAGGGGGAAATCGGTCACATACCTGTCTTTTCCCCTTACGTCTCATAGCCGAGAGGGCCAACATCTAGTGAATTTCCCAAGAGCCAAGGTACCTTCGGCGAACCCTCCGTCTCCGAAGGCGTTGAGACAAGGAACGGCCTCAAACCCCACTCCTTCTCAGCCGCCTCAAGAACCGAGGGGACTGCAGCTCGAGCAATTGTATGCCGAAAAGTGCTGCATACATCGGAGCGAGGTCGTGTGGTCCGCAAGGCCTAGCGTCTCCACTGGCCCTACGCTCATCCAAGAACCCATTCATTACTGTCTCGATAGCCTCTTCCACGTTCAGCCCGCTTATTCTGACCCTGGACAGACGTTCATCATTTCCGTCGCCTTCATGGTTGTCTTGGGTGGCTGCGGATGTGCTGATCTGAAGTTCCACGTCTACAGTGGCTTCCCTGACTTGTTTGGCTTGTTCTTGATCGAAGTAAGGGCCGCTGATGTAGTTGACCTCGGTCGTTGAGTCGATTCGTCGCTGCGCGTCGGGTTCTTCTGATTCTTTGAGGAAATCATGGATGAGAACTCGGATCTTGTACCCGAGAATTGGGTCGGCGTTTATAAATGAGGTCGTCAGCTTGGGAGACGTCTCGAATGGCGCTTGCGCCGTGGCCAGCTTCTTTTTGTTTGCTTTCGGCATCTTGAGATTTGATCTTCATAAATTTTGTCATATAGCGCAGATAGTAGAGTCAACTTCCGGTACTTACGGACTACTTTATATATGGTCAAGAGGCGACAACAAGGTAGTTGTGGCAACGGAGATGTTGCGGGACTCTTGTGTTTATTCAAGCACCCCGACTTCACTTTTAGGTCTCGTCTAAAGTCTATTTGAGACTTCGAACTGCATCTTTGCTAAAATATAGCAGGATTTGCCGTACGCAGGAGAGGCCAGTCAATTATATGAATTAATGCTACCCATTTGATGTGCTTCCTCATGGCACCTGGATCTAATCTGGACCAAAGTTCAAAACACTACTTTGATCAATCACGGGAGCACTAATGACCACAGCTCTACAACGAGGGAGGCCTCATGTCGAAAGCTTGCGCGGCCCAAGCCCAAGCAACCTTGCCCTCCTCATACCCGTACAAAGCATGCTCATAGACAGTAACCTTCCCATCCGGACCGTTCTTTTGCAGGTTCTTGTTCTGCGGCACGCCTGAGATGGACAGCCTGACGGCGATCTGCTGCTTCTTCACATCAATCACAAACTCGTCAACCTCATACTTGAGTCCGGCGATGACGGGCAGCAGGATCTTGCCTAGGAACCCCACGGCCCCGACCGCCGGCACCAGGTTCCCGTGCATCGAGATCGTCTCCGCCCACAGCGCCGGCAGCACGGTGGGCATGGTGCCGTCGTTGTAGCTGTAGATGTACTTGCGGTACAGCGCCTCGATCTCGGTGGCCGAGATGGGGTTCTGGGAGGCCTTGGCGGCGTACTCGGGCACGAACGGCGGCGCGGGTACGGGACCTGCTCCTCGGCTCTGTTGGTTCGCGACCTGGTAGAGGCGGGCAATCTTGCCGTTTTCGAAGAAGACGAGGATGAGGTCCCAGACCTTGGATGGGGTTCCCTCGGGGGCATCGCTTGTTGTTGTGACGAGGCGGGCGCCGAGGGATTGGGCGGCTTCGTTGACGGTTAACTGGTCTGCGCTGAAGAGGCTGCCCTTCTCGGCCGTTGTGGTGAGGCGGTTGATGAACTGGTCTCTGCTTTCAGTGTTTTCGTTGTAGGTTGCTCTCACTACCGGCTGGAGGTGGTTGTGAACTTCATCCCACTTCTTGTTGTTGACTGCGTCCAGGAAGGACTGGAAGATGGAAACAATGTCTTGAAATGCCATTTTGTAGTCGATTGGAGGGTTGTCTGTCTTGAGCCTTCGATCTTCTTCTTTCTCGAGAGATGAGTGTGAAGGTCTGGTATGATCTGGATATCCGAATCGCAGTTGAGACAATGCTCGCCATTGTTATATATCCGTAGACGCATCAGCTTCTCATACCTCTGGGCTCGTCATCGTCGCCAAGGGTAGCCAAGAGACTTCGGTCTCGCAAAGCTGACACTGAACGGGCGTTGTAGACGTGTAAGTCGGACCGTCAGCAAGGACCGACGGGCCGCTTTTGTTTGGTCGCCATCTTAATTGGGCCAAAAATTGCTCATACGCCGGGCACAGAGCCTCATCGTAGTGTTTCCGTATTAGGACAATAGGAGTAGTCTGTAACGGCGGGGATGGGGACGGGTCTCGGTAGATGCTATCCATTTCAGTAATCCCTTACCGAATTTACGGGGAGGTGTTCTTCTCAAAGGCGACCCATTGCCAGTCGTTCACGATTCAAATCTATTATACTTTCCCGAGCTTCTAAAGTTTGCCTCATTATGCTCACTAGTAATTTCCTTTCTGTAACGTAGTCTGTCCTCTACTAATGATGTAAGGCACTAGGTTTACCTCTGCTTGTAGTGAACCTTTACTCGCGTCCGAACCACAGCTTGACTTGAGCTGACAACGTCATCTGACAATCTTAACACTCACCTCTTTCCCATGTCACCGGGTCTGTCCAACAGCCCCTGAGGATTACAAGTTGAAAGATGTCGGCCGACCGCCTCTATGATTTTGCCGGCAGGTGGGTCGCCTGAGAGCTCTACCCGTTGCTGGTGGATGCTTCCCGCCCCCCCTTACGTCCGCCTCCACGTCCGCCTCCGGCCAGCAGCCCCGACGTATTTGCGGTAACTTCTGCCCTGGTCATTTCAAGTCGCTCCGTTGCTTGCAGTCCTTCTGACACTCTGGAAGAACGCAAAGACGAAGATTGCCTGTTTTTGAGCTCCTGGGTGTTACTTTAGATGGCTGCCTGAATTGTGCGTTATGCATCTCGAAGGACCACCCAACGATGATGCTTATCGATTCTCTAGCCGACCAATTGGCAGAATTGCTGGCTGATAGCAGCAAATAAAGCCCTAGATCATATTTGATGAACTGTAACAGGGAAGAAGAAAGCAATATTGTTACATGAACGGCTACAAGGGCTGTTGCCTTACGAAATTTTTGCCATGCTCTGTGTAGACGTCTGCTCCGGAACAACGTGGTTGACGTTGCCCGGGTCACCAACAGTTTGGACCGACTTTTTGAACGGAATTTTTGTAAAAATTGGTTGTATGTTGTGATATCTCTGTGACCCGACCAATGAGAAACACAAACCCATTTCTCATCCTGGCACGTTCTTCTCGTCGTGCGGCAATTCATCAATGCTGTTGCCTGATTCCAGGCACTGCTTCCCTTAGTGCCATCGCGTGGTTTCAGTTCCTTGCACAGCGTGTTGTGTTCAGTGAGTAAAGCGAAGATTGAGGTTTTCTCGGTGCCTGTTCATGTTGATGGTTGATACAAGACGCGATCGCCTGGAACCAAGAAATAGTGCATTCACGTTTTCTGCATAAAACCCCGCGTTGCCTCTGCGGTAAGACCCGACCGAAGTTTGTCTGCTTTCTCATCAACAACTGATCCATATCCATCGACTGAAAATACTTCGGAAGTCAACATACATACCGGAACTCGCACCTCCAAACAACAACCATGGCCGCTACTGGCGAGTCTGCCCCCTATACGGGTCCCTCTCCCCGCGAGATGATGGAAAGCCATACTCTGGCGCAGGAGATCATCAACCGCAACAATGACGCCTGCCCCATCCTCGACTCTGATGAGCTGTCTCTCCTCTCCGATTTCGTCAAAGATCCATCGCAGGCACGCTCTCTCCTCGAGGCTCGCGGACTGGCCGACGAACCCACCAAGACTGGTAGTCTTGTGGCCCACGTCATTTCACTACACGGAACCGACAAGGCCGCCCTCACTGACGAGGAAATCAAGCTTCTCAATAGATGGTTTGAGAATGGCCAGAAGCTTTGGTGAGATGAAGAGACATCCTGAGTGGGAATGACATGTTCGCATTCTCATGTAGCGAAAGGGCTTCATTGCGACATGGCAGCGGGCGGGAGAAGCTAGCTTGGCTGTACAGTGATCGACCAAGCCCTTCATATAATCAACAAATACTCTCACAAATGGCGATAGCACCGGGGCTCAAGGTCGAAGCCTAAACGTGTTTTTGATATCAGTGATAGTGGCAGCTTTTTAATAGGAATATGAACTATGTGGTGCCAACCTGTAAATCCTTTCCTCCATATCAAAACGCATGAACTTATTCTTCAGCGTAGACAATATCTCGTTCAAGTGGTACCTAGAATTGGCGATAGAATTTGGTTAGATTTGTATAAATTGCGACCCTCTAACTAGGATTATTCACGGAGAAGAACTTGTTCCTACGTTCTTGCTCCTTCTAACTACTTCCGGTAAGATGACAACGCAGCAAGGGCTGCTGCTTCCACCTTCACTAACACACATGTAGCATGGCAGTGCGGAAGTGCTTTCCATGATGGAAGCGGTCCTTTATTGCCGTAAGTTGGACGTATCTCCTCCTTCCCTCTCTCGTTCATTGCTTGTAAACAGAAAGTACCAAGTACCTAGGTGTTCCAGTGCCACGGGCTATGAAGAGAGAGGAGAAGACCGAGGAAGAGACATCCCGATAAAGCAAGTACGGACACTCCATCACTGTCATAATCTACCAATGCTTTCGAGATATTCCTCTCCAACACCCAACCTCCATCTACATAATCAACACCCATGTCGATGGTCAAACCGTCAAGCCGACATGGTTAATTTGCGACGTATATATTCTTTGACCTCTGATGTTATATTATCTGGTTTATGCTCCCTCTAAAGGCCAGTATCTAACATCGGCGCTTAGATACCAAGGAAGTCGGAGGTTGGCGAGGCATTTGTGAGGAAACTGAAGCAAAGGTAGACTGTAATGCCTACTCGATCAAAGCCGGGCGCTAATTATTATTTCAGGGAACCCATCGAATCAATCAATCGTGGCCATATCCGCTATCTCATTGCAACCCTTCCGCGCATCGACAATAGTCAATCGATACAGTCAGCTTGGTGTTGCTGTCAGATCGTTGATCACTGAGCAGCAGTGCCCGGCTTGGGAATTTGTAGGTTGACGAAGAAGCTGCTGAAACTCACTCAGCGTCGATGATCATGGCGAACAGAGATATCAGTGCCGAATACACTCACGTCTTTGACAAGCGCCGAAGACGCCTCAATTTTACATGCGGGCGAACCCAGGGTGGTCCTAGACCTGTCGATCCTCGTAAAGGAACGACGTCCGATTTGTCGGAATGCGACATAGGATTCATCTAGATCCCACAAGCATGGTCAAGTCGATGTCAAGCGGCTTGCCTCGAATAGCAACCGCGCGAGCGCACTCGTCCGCCCCTCAGTGGTGTTCAACGTCTGACTGTGCCGGGCTCAAGCTTCAGAGTTCGCATTGGCCTTTAGGCTCTTACTATCGCGTGCAGGCTACAAGATCAACTTCGCCTACGATGTAGATGCTACGAGCAGCTCCCGAGACGACTCTCTCGACACAAATCTCGCCGTGCAGAACGGCTGGTCCAAGTACCCTTCAAACCGTCATTCCGCTCCAGGGCATGGCTGCCAAAGCGACATATCTCAGATGGACCCCAAACTCGGCATCGCGGATCCCCTCCAACGGTATCCAATGCCTCTCTCCACACTCGTCCTTGACCAAACCACGCCAGATCGTGTCTCGTTGCCGCGACCCAATGAGACGTCGCAAGGCACCTGGGCGGAATTGAGTCTCGGTCGCATCCGCAGGTCGCCCTCCTTCTTGGTTGATGGCGGAAATGGCAGATATGCCAGACAAGGGCATGCTCTCCCCCGGAACCCCTCCGGAGCCCATTCCGTCCATGACCCCGGTTTCGTACGCCGGCCAATGTGGGAGCGAGACGGCTGTCCGTACGAATACCTACAGACTCTTCGCGAGTCCCCCACAGAATGTTTCGTTTCAAAGTGAGATGGGAGTTGGAGCACTGCGGATCTGCTCAGCCACCGACAGCACACCACCGTGGCCACCACGTTTGACTGCTCATCGGGAGGGAAAGTTTTGTCGGGAGAGCACGTATCTTTGCACGGACAGCAAGCAAGATGGCCTGCCCGCCATAACACCCCACCATCCTCTTTGGGCGACTCAGCCGCAACTCAGGCTCGCATCCCTGCGAGCTGTAAGTAGCAAGCCACACCCTCCCTGCCTGTCTATGGCTGTAGTTGATCTTCTGGGTTGATCCTATCGAGTCAGTTCAGCATCACCTTGGCTTTCCTTCCCGTCCCCCCTCTCTTCCCTCCGTCTCCGAATGCCGACCAAGAGTTGCGACATGGAACGTTGCTACTGCGAAGAAACTAGACTTGGCCCGCCAAACTCAGCTTTCGAGCCATTGCACTTCCGGGCCAGTGTAAGTTCTCGTTGTCGGCATAGACATTCCGCACAAGAGGAAAAGCAAAATGGCGAAACAGCGAAGGACAAGAGCAGTTTTGCTTCGTATCAAGCGCGGAGCAAAATGTCCCTTCTTTATGCGTTGGAGCTATCAACCCCATGCAACGCTTCATGCGTCGCGGGCCTAGAGTCGCCAAGCTGCAACAGTCTTTTGTCGACAATTAGTTGACAAGCAAAGTCAAATGCCCAACTCCCACGATCTCTCAAGTGGGAGACTTTCAGCCTGAAATCTGCCACCCCCTAAACAACCTACCGACTGCGACGCTTTGTATTCAATATGCAACCTCTTTCACTTTTCTCACTCAGCGCAGTAGCCCAACGGGGACGCGTAACTCTTCCTTCCGTGAAGCCTCAAACAACTCAGCAGCGGCGGATGGCACCATCCCTAGCGCCCGTCAGCACCACCTGCATCCCAAAACATGATAGATGCCAACACGAATCTTATATATCAAATAACCAGAGAGAATCCCGTTTCCAAACGCCCACCTTATTTCAGCTGAGTAGCCGAGCTCGAGACACCGCGAAAATAGGTTTCTCCCCCCTTTACCCCTTTTCCTTCTATCGCGTGCTCGCTTTCAACGCCGTCTCAATAGCGAAACTCTTGCGTGTCGTAACCAGAGAGCCGAATGCCATGGTTGAAACCGTGCCAAAGTTCCCTTGCTTCTATTTCCCCGTTCCCCGGGACCGGTTGAACCCATCTGGCCGCCCGTTACACCTGTCTCGCCTGTCGACATCCGACAGAACAACAATTCCCCCGACGTTCAGACGTTCCCCGTCCGTGCGAGCGTCTGCCTGCCAGCAAAGGGCCGACTTTGGAGCTGGACCGTGTTCCGAGAAGCATGGTGGTGGTGTGGTCCATGTAGGGGGTGGACATGTGTAAGCTGGGCGTGCGACAACTGACCGACAGCGGCCAGACCAGGATGGTTGATCAGTTTGTGTGCCCACCGGCAAACGCTCAGACGCAGTGATCAGTGATACCCGCTGATCGTCCCTAGAAACCCCCGTCTTCTAGAACTTCCCGCTCAGTGCCGCCCAGTCTTTGGACAGGCTCACTTTTTTGTAAGATTCTTGCTCTCGCCCTTGTCTAGAAAGAGTTGGCTGATCTAGACAGGTGTGGGAGGTCCAGAAGTCGATTTCTATCGCGCGCCAAATCATGACGATTACATTGCCTCGATAGGGTTGGTTCTCATCTTTGCCTTGCCGCAGCTTCTGCCCCGAGACCGAAGAGGACGGACAGCATTCTGAGCAGGTAACCTGTACCAAACGTCTCTAGGGGTAGCTTTTCTGTTGCTGATTGCTGAAGACGCTTTCAGCTGAGGGGCCAGTCGCTCTTCGCGAGCAACGATCTCGGAGACCACGAGAAACAGCTTTCCCCTTAACGTGACGAACTCTCAGAGGTGTAAGTGCCCTTGCCGAGTCATGCGTTGGATGCACAGCGCTGACTTTAAGAAGAAGGAAAAGGAAAAACCTCGAGGACCATCACCAACCCGTCCGAACCTGGTCCTGGACCCTCCAGAACCTTTTGTATTTTTTTTTGATGTTGGCTTTGGTTTTAGAGGCTGGCCAAACTGGCACTTGATCTGCCCGACTTTATGCGCCTTGGGTTTACCTAGGTATCCATCCCCTTCCCGTCGACTCCCTCCCGCAGCCGAGCTGTGCTTGTCAGATTTCGCGGGTCTAGATAGTACTATGTAGTGCTTCCCCAAGACCGGGATGGATGGTCTTGTCGAAACTTGATACCCGAAATAGAGAAACATGCAGAAACGTAGAAACGCGGGGGCTTGGTTTTCAAAGGGGATAAGCACAGTGGCACACCACCACCACTTGACAACACCCTTTTCCCCTCCCCTCCACTATCCTCCCCCCTTACTGAGGTGAAGCTGAAAAACGAAATAAAAAAACCCAAGTTGGAAGGGCAGATCTTTTTCCTGTTTCTTTCCCAAAAGTGCGTGAAGTCCCAACTCTGTTCCCCATCACGCCCATCAAACCTCAATTTCAGGGTCTCGCCGGCTCAATTACTTACTCCTTACGCTTACTTACTGTAAGAATGCTCTCTCCCAACATCCCAACCTCAGCTGGCACAACCCACATGCCTGCTCGTTGACCTCCACACTTGGAGTAAAAAAGTGAAGAGAAAAGGTTTTTTCCTTTTCTTTTCTTTGGAAAAAAAGTCACTTATGCACGAGGGGGAAGAGGCACGCGAGACACACGTTGGTGAACATAATTTTGTTCGAACTAACTAATAGCGTAAAATGCAAAGTAACCAGTTGAGCTGCGTGTAAGCCAGACCTGGGCCAAGAAACCTCCAGGGTTTGCCAAAGGTCGCTCATGATATTCCCCCCTTGCTAAAAAAGAAAAAAAGGGTTTCCTGCACCCTCTGCCGCTTGAGAAACACCCAAGTCAAGGTTATCTGACCTGCACAGCAGACCCGTAAACCCGGCTTGTGTTCCCAAGCGACTTTCGATCCCTCGCCCAAGCAATTTAATGCTTCTCCGAGTCTTCTTCGGCGACGGCGGGGTCTCTCATGCAGGAGGGCGAGCTACACGTCGCCTCTTTCTCTCTGCCCCTTGCTCACGTTTCCCCCCTAACTCGAAGCTGCCACGGGCGCGACCCCCCTTCCCCAGATTCCACACAATGACCCCCAACCCGGTAACAACGTTCCGTTCACATCCAGTCCCGACTCGCAGGTTTCCGTAGTGTCGTACTTGTGTCCAGGTGGGGTAATCAGCATGGCCTGATTTGGGTTCGTTAGCGCCCGCGTAAGTCGAGCGAGGATTATCGTGAGTGTGATAGCAGAGGTTCCAAGACTGTGGCCAGAGGTCTCTGCATCGTATCTTGCCCAGCAAGATGATTCTTTCTGCGATGCCCAGCTTCTTTTATTCTGTTGATTCGAGTCCCATCTCTCCTCCATTTCCATGCCAGCCGTCTCCCTTTTGCGCCGCGATGAGCCTCGAGGGGACGGCTGAAGCCAAAGATCTTGTCGACATGCCAGTGTCTGCCTTGACAGTTGCATCTCTGATACAACCATGTCTCAGCTACGCGATGATTGTTGTTTGTGTTTGTCGACCTTTCGCAAAGAAGCGTTGCTATTATTGGATCCGGTCCGGTTTGCAAGCCTTTTGCTGTAACTGAAATTCAATAGCCTGTGCGAAGCGAAGAAAACCAAGAAAATCGTATGTCGTGGCATCGAGCCTGGAGCAACGTCGTCTTGATTCGTATCGTTGAGCGCGCAGTCGTGAATATTCGTCATTGGTCGTGAAATGGTTGTCATGAATCATCCGTAAGACAAGAACCCAAGCCCAAGGAAATGAGAAGAAAGCAAAATGCGCAGCGGTTGGTATCTTCCGATCCAGTGTAATGCCGATGGGGGTATCTCTAAGAAAGCCTCTTAAACCAAACAAGAAAACAGGACCAAAAAAAAAAAGTAGAAATCCAAAGCGGGGGAATCGAGAATGAAAGGTTGTCGGTTTCTTCTGTCTCGGGCTCCAGGCCTGGAGCCGAGCGGGGGGGTTTTGCATTGCTGCGTGTTCCTCTTGTGTAGATGAGACAAGACCCAAAGGAAATAGTAGAGAAAGGGGAAAAGAGAACAGGCCGCCTATATGTTCGAAAAACCCCCCAACCCAAATGTAAATGCACTCAAATGCCCGCCCCGGACCCAGCCATGATGAGATGATTCGAATGAAAGGTGACCGAGCTTGCGGCAGAGTGAGTGGTGGTGGTTGTTGTTCCCCGGATATCGAAAAGACTGTGAAAAAATCATACGCTCGCTTGCTGCCGACAAAAGAAAAAAACCCCCAATTATATCTTTTTTGTTTGGTTGTCTCGCGAGTCCCGTAACACCGTTCGCTCCCCTGCTGATGCAAAACGCCGATATGCCTGTGGATGATTCTATGCCGAGCAGACCGAGAAGAATTCAACTTTTCTCCGGGAAACATGGGACCATCGTGCCTGGCAATGCTTATGAGGTCGTTACGACAGGGTAAGTCTCAGATGTAACGGATTCTGGTTGTCACATCGTCGTCGTGTACTCCTGGTAGCGATCCCAGCCGAAGCCACCGTAGCCGACGCTCACACCGCATTGAGGCGTGAACATGCTGGGGAGAGGCAACGCTGGGATGGGCGCCGTGATTGCTGGTGCACTGTAGTAGAACCCGGCCGTGGAGAAAGGTTGGCTGTATGCAGGCGTAGGGGAGGGAATCTGAACCTCGCTCATGCCAATGTTGGCCCAGATTGGCGTTGACTCCTGAGATGTGGATGCAATGCTCGGACTTGATGGCAGGACTCTCCACGCGTCGACAGCGACTAGGCTGGCTGGCGTAGGGGGTTGCGACCAGATGCTGGCGTTGGCGGGTGAGCTGGGGAGCAGAGGTGGTTGTCTGATGACATCGACAACACGGGGAGGAGGAGGCAGCAAGGGCTTCATGAGGCCCATGATGTTGTTCTTGACCTCCTCGCTCTTACCCGAGAGCAGCTCACCAGCGCCTTCTTCCTCGAGCCCTTCCAAGGCAGTGACATGTGTGCGGTAGACAAACTTGTTGATGGCTTGGACGAAATCCTCATGCAGCTTCTTGCATTGTTGGTCTTTCTCAGACCAGTCATAGGTGTTGGCCTTGCTATCGACGCAGTGAATTTCCTTATGGTACTCGACCAGGGCGTCTATTGAGTCGGTGGTGAGCTTGAAAGCGACCTCGTTGCGCAGGACCATGTCGACGTGGACAATGTAGGCCTCGATGTGGAGAAGCTGGTAGTTGAACAGGGCCTCGACGAGAGGGTTCTCATCCTGGCGCAAGTCGGATTCCGGGGCCTTGGGGAGCATGATGGAAGTGAGAGTCCAGATGGCATTGGGCGATGAAAGTGTCTCGGTCAGACATCTTTGATGTTGAGGGACGCTGTTGAGTGGGCGCTTAATCCGGTTGATGCGCTTCAGTGTCTGTGTCAACCACGGCTCGACCTTGGATCCCAGCACGACGTTGACGGATGAGGCTCTCGGGGCGAAAGCAGCCGCAGAGGCTGGTAGCAGTTGAACAGGCATGTTGTTGGCGGGGATATCTGGCGTGGAGGATGGAGAGAGTCTGTGACCGAGGGAGGAACGGGGAGGATCAGTTGGCGTTAGATATGACAAAAAAGAGGCGGTTTGGTCGTTATCGTTGTCGTCGTTGTGGTCGTCAAGGATAAGTCTCGGGTAGAGGAGGGTCTTTTGGGTGTATATATCTTGGACGGTATTCTTGTTGATCTTGAATCTTGGTAAGACACCTCGAGAACAGCGGGGGAGAGGGGTGGGATAGACGGGGGAGGGAAAATGAAGTAATAAAGGAAACAAGTGATGACGGAGCTGGGCGGTCCCAAGGATTCCGGGAGGATAACAAGGGATATTTGGCTTGCACGCCTGCTACCGCGAATAAGAAGAAGAAGAAGAAGGCAGACGAAGAGCTCGTGAAGAGGAAGAGGGAGGGTGAGAAGAGACAGGATGTGGTGCGAGGGTGGTGGGGTGTTATAATCGCCCGAGAAAGAGACAGCCCTGGGGCCTGGCTGGGGCTTGGAGAGAAAGAGCCTGAGGTGCGGTCAACCTTCTTTGCCCACTCATGTTCACTGCTGTTCAGCGCAGTCGAGGCCTGTCATGGGGGTACGAGTTGGGTGGTAAACTCGCTCCCATCCGGTGTGTGGTGCTTGCTGCGGCTGCGGTACGGTGAGGTGACGAGTACCCGAGGACTTGGACTTATGCGTGGGACAGGGGTGCGTTTGGCGGTTAGCTCAAGTACCGGGGTACACGAACGTGAGTCTTTTCCCCATCAGAGCTTGTCCCGCTTCGGAGTATTGGTACTGCTTCTCTTTTTGCACCTTGCGCACCTCACTCCCGCCCACCCAAAGAAAAAAAAAAAAAAAAGGTAGGTACCTACTGAGTGACTACCGGTACCCTCTCTTCCCCATTCGCCTCGACCAGCCCGGTGGGCTTTCGGCAGGCGGTCCCCCATGGTCCATGGTCCAGGAGGCGGGAAGAAGGCGCAAGCAGAGAGGGAGGGGGGAGGGGAGGAGGGGAGGGGTGTGGCAGGTCACCTCCACTACGAACTTGTCACTGGCTAAGGTAGGTACTCCCTGCTCCTCGCTCTTTGCACCCTACATGAGTTGAGGAGCAAGTGGAGAGAGAAAGACAGAGCCAGAACAAGAGAGCCACAGCCAGAACCAGATCTCTCAGGTCCCGGAACTTAGAACCCAGAGCTTCGAGTTCACAATACACTACCTACCACAATAGGTACCTAGCTGGCAGAGTCAGGAAGGCAGAAGATCCATCATCCTTGGATGATGCACGCCGGCGGGGGCAGCGCAGCGCGCTGTGCAGTAGTATCGGATCTCCCTATGGCGCCGGGGACTACTTGCTATACTTACACAGTAGGTAAGGTAGGTAGGTACCTCTGGGAGGTACATGTCTAAGGTAGCCATGGACCAGTACTTGCGTCTGATCCAAGGACAGGCCCTAGGTATCGGGCACTCTGAATGACTGGCTCTTTCTGTATCCCTACGGATATAGGTAAGTACGCAAGTAGGCCTCAGGTTAAGGTAGCCTCGGTGCGCGGTGCATGCATTTTGGGCCGGCTTCCAGGTCTCCTCCTCGCCTCACCCGGATCTCCATACATCTTGCTCCCTCTCCTCTCCCAAGGGGGCCCTGTTACCTCCATGACGGGATATACTATGGAGCTGAGGGCCGGCGGCGGCGGCCGGGGGAAAGCTGGAAGCTGGAGCCCAAGGCTTGCTGGCCTCGTTGTTGGCGTTGGCGTTGGGGCCGTTGATGCTCGTCCTCTTCATGCCAACCTGCATATCCGTAGAGCATCCTAGCCCGTGGCGGATCTAGTAACAATATCCAGTAATAGGACACGTCAAAGTCGGTCGATGGGAGGACTCCAACGAACATGGACCTGCGCTGGTCGTTGGCCTCTCGAGTTCAGTCCGTTCGCCATCGCCATTCCACTCATGCGCTCTCCATCTAGTGCCTCCAACATCGCAACCAAATTCGTTTGGCCTTACCACTCAGTAGTGAGTTTCCAGCCCATCTCGGCTCAGCGACTCCCTCTCCGGACAGGCCCTAACTCACTTACATGGGCCAAGGAGGCAGCTAGACACCACACCTCCCTCCCGCTATTTGGCGTTTGCACGGATGTCGTGAGTCTGGTCATGTCAAGTTGCAGAGTGCCCATGTACACAATAAACTAAGCAGCCACACAGCTCAATGAGCCGAAGCAAGGTTTGGCAGGTTGGCAAGCTTAGGCTAGGTGGCCTAGGGCAAGCTAGGAATTCCCTGAATGCTTCGGATGCCGTCGCCTGCGTGCGCCGCAAGCTTGGGCCAGCACCTTCCCCCCTTCACTCTTTGGTTTTAACTCTGCCGCCTTTGGGAACACCTTTCTGTGAGAGTTGTGAGAGCGATGTAACCAAACGTTGTCATGTTGGCTGGTGGTGGTGAAGTGCCGCTGACTGAGGCGAGGTGGCTGGCAGTCACGCAGTGTGCCAGTTGAGTCGGAACGTTACGAGCGACAAAATGACTTCGAGCGTTTTTTGCCTTTTCCCGCTATTCCTCTTGGGTCAAGACTTTAGAGACATATGTTTCCCATCTTGGTTTAGACTCTCCAAACTTCAGAGAGCGTGGCTTCTGAAAAGCGTTGTCTGAGGCGTGCGTCGTCTTTTGCATCTGCGCCACATTTCGCTATAGGCCCAACGCTGTGGAATACAACCTCCAACGACGACCTAGAGAAAGTCTGGGATAACTCTTGAAGATCCTTCCAACAATCTCGAGGTTGCGCCAACACTATGCAAAGAGGTGACAAAGCGCACCGAAGAACCAGGCTCGGCAATCCATTCGACCCCCGGGTAAGGCTTGCTTAGGTCGGGCGTGGTAAGGCGAAAAACAGACAAACGAGCGATTCCTATGGGCTCAGGTACGGGGCACCGGAGACGGCGCAAAACGCTCTGGTAGATCTGTCTTTGGGTCAGAACAGACTTCGGCATCGATTCGGAGCCTGTACTGATACAGTATGTCCAAGGCAAAGTATCCGCAGACCAAAGTATAGTGAAAAGAACTGGGCATAGGTTGCTCCCTCTGATTTGCCGTCCACCCTCCTTCGGCCCCGATCCCGGTTCAGAAGATTTCCGGCAGATTCGGTTGACGGCAATGAGCAGCAAAGTAAATTGTAAATCTTTCCGCTTTTTCTGGATCCAAACCGATGTAGACTCTAAAAAAAGGTTCAGAGAGGGGGGGGGGAAACAAGAGTATCCGATCTCTCTAGTCTGTACAAAGTACGTGTCGAGCTGCGCTGCGCTGCGCATGCGCTTCTGCATGAAGCGAGCGAGCGAAAGCGACGGCGGCGCGGCGGCGGCGAAAAAACTTGTGAAGAGACTGACGGAGGGGGGAAAAGTTCCCAAAAAATTATAGTAGGGACCGCCGTACAAGATCAGGGCTGTGCTGCGACCTGCATATGCTCAATGACAGAACCCGAGAGGTCAGGCGAATGGGAACCGTCGGATCCCGCAA